CGTCGCCTCGCTTCGCTTCGCTTCGCCTCGCCTCGCCTCGCCTCGCCTCGCCTCGCGTCGCGTTGCAAAAGGGAGATAGAGAGGAAGACGGGTTGTGCGTTAGAATACAGCTCTGCGTGTGCAGTTGATTGGGCCTCAGAGAAGTCGGTGAACGTGTAGCGACACGATGATTTACCTCTCTCGGAATAAAACTGCCGGTTCGCGAGCTCGCGTATTCGCGGCAGAAATTCGGTAAAAATAGCCGCGACGAAGGTCGGTTCGAGATCCGTCCGTAAAATTCGAGGAGCTCATTTTATTTTGATGCGTGCATGTGTGTGTACACACAATGTATCAGCTCGCGAACAATTGTATTCATATATATGTATAATTATGAATGCAAAAAGAAATGTATGTAGAATATTGAATTTCAAACATAACATGTCGAAAATGAAATGCAATATCGAAGTCCAACTTTTTAAATTATATTATTATTTCGAGAATGACTCATATTTTGATTTAAAAAACTTTACTTTGGATGGAGGCGTGAAAGTGAAGGTTAAATTTATTTTCTTTTAACGGGACTCCAATTTTTAAATATCTATGTTACAGTTCTTTGAATTCAGCGACACAACCCTAATAATTGAAGATATGATGAAGAAAAAAGACTCCGTACTATTATCAGCCCATATCTTTTCGATGATATCGTAAACAGACGAATTTTTTTAAATTTTTTTATTGAGCAACTACATCTTGAGACGGGGCACCGTCTCAGCTTTTAGTTTAACCGTCAGATAACGCAAGAATGTTTTTTCCTGACTGATGGTTAAATCGATAGCCAGATCACTTGATCTGATCTACCCAGATTATTATTTGCGGGATAAAGTTCAAGAAATTGTTCATGTTAATCCTCCAACTACCAGGGAAAATATGATGCAACGAATATGCAAAACAAGCCGAATAATCTCAAGAGGTGAATTACAATGAGTGCCTAATAATTTTCAACGAAGAAGATTACAGACTTGCAAAGATGCCAGACAATATTTTGAACATTTTTAGATCAATGGAATTTTTCTTTTCAAAGAGAAAAAGAATTTGTTTGACTTTGATCCTATTTTTTGCTTCCTATTATCTTCATTTGACTTCCTATTATCTTGCATGTATAATCATTGAATTCATCATAAAAAAAGGGCTATATAAACGTAGATATTTAAAAGATTAGAGTTTCATGTAAAATGTCAAATGAATTTGATTCCGCCCAGAGCTAAATTCTCTTCATCAAAATGTGTCCTCCTCGAGGCGTTACAACTTAAAAAAAGTCAGCCCTTGATATCTCATTTAATTTTTGAGATACTACGTTTGAAATGCAACATCTTGTATATATCGGTTTGCAATATCCAGATACGCAGTTACGCATACTTTATATTCTTTTCTGTATGACTTGATATATTCAGGAGCGTGCAAAGAACAAGGAAGATCCGTTGACGAATAAAAGTCACGACGATTTCATTACATCTGATTAATCTTGTTCAATTATCAATAATTGTAACCGACATCTTTGTCGAGTCGAGATCATTGTTCATAGATAAACGAGGATGATGTTTGCATCTGATGTAATAACTCTTTAGATTTTGCTTCATCGCGTGTTCGGCGTGTTAAAATTTTTGCGTCGCAAGCGCGCGTCTAATTATGGATTTTTCACAGAAAGGTTATAGTATTAATCATCTGACTTTTTCCCGACATAATGGCCCATGCGATTATACGCGATATAATAATCCATTATATAAAACTGTTTCGTGTAAAGCTCCCGGTAACGTGTACTAGCTGATTCGTTTGGCGTGGTAATTACAGCCACCGCGTGTAGCAGTTTATTTTCCCTTTTGGGATGATCTAATCAAGGGAGAGAGAGGACTAGAGGAAGGGGGAAGGGAGAGAGAGAGAGAGAGAGAGAGAGAGAGAGAGAGAGAGAGAGAGAGAGAGAGAGAGAGAGAGAGAGAGAGAGAGAGAGAGAGAGAGATGGACTCTCCTTCTCTCCCGTGGTACGTTCATCCGGGCACCGACACGGATGGGAACGGGGTAAAAGCTATCGTATTAAAGTCGTTTCTGTCGCAGTACGGCGTCTCATTTTGCGTCCGAGAAAAAGGATTAAATCGCGGTTTCCGCCGGTCGCCGGTGTGATTACCTCGCGTGTGCAATGGGCGGCGTGTGACGAGAAATAATGCCGCGGAAAGCGGCGGCGCGTTAGCCTCGTACGCCTCGTACACCTCGCCGGCGAGGATTATTTAGGTAGTGATGCAAACACCTTGCGTACACTTGGCGTACGTACGACTGTATGCCGCGACGCAACCGCAATTGCGAGGCGAGAGAGGCGATGCGCCCCGGCGGACGGAAATAAAGGAATCGAGTTTTCCTACACGATACTTTATTCGCGCTGCACCGTCCCGTAAAGAACCCGAGCGTCTCATAAACTGGAGAACACAACGGGAGAGACTGTTGGACTTTTCAGCAGTACGAGAGACCGATGCTGTTCAGCGAAGATGATAATTTCCTTTCTCGGCACTTCTTTCCGTCACGCGTCGAGTCCGAACAGGGAAGAACAACAAATCAATCACCGCCCCCCTCCCCCATCTGAAGTCGAAGGATTTCGCCTTCAAAACTCTCTCTTCTCCATTTATATTCCCCCGTTCAGAATCTGTTTTCCGAACAAGTCGCTTGTTGCCTGCTATTGTCGCCATTGCTCTCCTCCTTCAAGGGGAAAGAACTCATCATCGCGCGATTCATTGATTATAATTCTCCCTCCGGCCAGGGTGGGTCACATTTCTGCGGTGGGTCCGCGACGCGACACACGCGCGCGTCGCGCGTCGTCTCGCATGTTCTCGCCGGTGTCGCGGTGGGCGAGTGGGCGCGATTAGCCGGTAAGGTGATCACCGCTGATGAACGCCTCTCCGGCGGGGGAATGAATAATAGACCAGTCGGAGAAAACACGTTCTGATTGAGTTAACCGGCGGCATACGTCATTACAGCGGCGCGGCGACTCGTCGGCTCTCGACGCCAAGGCCAACCGCCGCGCCGCGGTGTAATCTCGACGCCGTATTCAGGTCGTTCTTAATTAACCTGCCGGCTACTCTCAGCTGAGGTATGACAAATCCGTGCGTCGCTCGCGTTTCCTCGCCGTCAGAGCTGTCCGTGTAGCGGAGCTCGCCGATCCGCCGCGATCGGTCTTTTCGCCTCTGCTACCTCGAGCTGTCTCTCGCCGACGTTGCTTTGTTCCGCCTCCGTCTCCGAGAAGACGCGCTCGTCGTTGTTGCGACACGACACGTGGAGACGAAACGGAACTCGTCAATTAGCGGCGAATACGCGCAGTCACGGTGCGACCGGCACGAAAATACCTGGCAATTGCGGGTCTAACTCTAACGAGTGTAGAGGCATTTATTTCTAGTGGCTCGACGAGTGTTTGCTTATTAATATTAATCCTCTCGGGAGGGCAAGAAGAGATGACGATTCAAAAATTTCGTACAAACCACACATACACACACACACACACACACACACACTTGTTGCTTATCATCACGCCGCGCCGAGACTGGAATTTAGAGCGGAGCGAAATTTTTGTCACGCTCTACGCTTTATGCGCGAGCGATTCCTCGCGTTGCAGCGATCCAAGCACAGGCGCCACATGCGCGCGCTTCGTCATTTATCGTTTCCGTCATTAGCGATTAGCTACCGATCTTCCTCGTTGTCGGCGGCGGGGAGGAACGGGGGCGAATTGAGCGGCGGAGGCAGGCAAGGGGAGCGCGACGATTAACATTTTGCGCGGCGCGCTTTATGCCCGCCACTTATATATATCAAGCGGCATTATCTTATTTACGGTACGCCGTAATGGCACTGTGTTTGCGGCCGTAAATTGCCGCGGAACGTCTCTCGAGCTGACACGTAACAACGGCGTGTAGCCCCTCACGGCCATTACGGGCATCGGCCTGCGGCCTTCCACAACTTGGACGCATTTTAACTCCGCACGGAGCATCGCGCATCGATCATGAGATTCATGAGCGTCGTCAGCTGGAGCCGTTGACTCCTTCCTCTCGTTCCTTCCCCCCTCCACCCCCCCCTCCCCTCCAACCCACCTCCCGCCTGATCTCTCTCTCGCCTCTCCTCTCGCCGCGGCTCGCGTCTTTCGCTCGTGCTCGCGCTCGCGCGAATCGATATTCGCCAATTACGGCGATCCGCTCGACGAAAGCAGGCGGAGGCGAAGCAGATCCTCTTGTTATTGCTTCGTTCGGAGCGAAATATTTATTAGAGCGGATCGCGCGTGGAATGTATAAACACACCGTTGCAAATCCACTTTGTACTTACCGGAATTCACCGGAACACCGCGTATACTCTCTCTCTCTCTCTCTCTCTCTCTCAGAATCGGCCACGCGTGCTCTGCTACAAATATCTGAAACAATAAATGTAGCATCGCCGATTAGATACGAGTGTATGATTAATAGCTTGATGAGGAAGATACGCGTGGATATACGAGAGTGTTAATATTTAACGATCGTTGTAACTTGAGAATTTTTACTTGGGCAATCATGTCCCAGTTTCTCTCTCTTGCTCTCTCTGCGCTCTCTCTGCGCTCTCTCTCTCTCTCTCTCTCTGTAACAATCAGATAACACGTCTCTCTTTCATAAGCGGATAGCAAGGTGTTTTATCAAAGACGCGAGCGAGTGCGATATCCGCCGCAGATGCGACTCACTTTCAATCTACCGCATTCCATCGTCGTTTTAGCGAAGCCTCATTCGTCTACGATTAATATCCGCAACGGAGCCGTCGATTGCGTTTCGAGAGACTTTCAAGAAGACTCTCAAGGTTCGCCGACTCGCCGAGACTTTTACCGCAGGCGCTACTGAATTTCCCAGGAGTTTCCAGACTATTTGAGATTCGAGAACCTCGAAGTGATTGGACGCTGGCTCGTTAGTCCATCACACCAGCCGCGATACGATCGAGCGAGAAATAACGAACGGCGCGTGTTCTTGTTTCAGGTTGCGACACGACCTTGGAGCCCGGATCAGGGCAAGACGCGGGAGATGACCAAGCTCTGCAACCATAAGAGGAAACTTCTGCTGCCGGCTGCGGCCGCCAGTCCTGTTGCGTCCTGTACACCGGCGGTCTCATCGTCGACTTTATCTTCTGGCCCGACTACGGCCCCGATTCACGCGAACGCCGACTCGCCCACGTCGTCGGAGAAAACCAGAAAAGGTAAGGAACGCCACCGCGAGGAACACCAAACGTTCCGATTACTCGTGCGGCCGATTGAACGGCCGAGAAATCGCGACCGGGAGATTACGTTAATTTAATTCGGATATCGTAGCCGGCGCACAGTGGGGCCAGATGACATTTTTTGGTTGAAAATTCTCTAGAGACCTGAATTTCCAACCGATCATCGAGACACCAATGGATGAGGTTGATCCTGAATAAATTCCGAAGAGATCTGTCTTGCCAAAGTTAAAAAAGAAATTTTTTCCTCGAATTACTAGCTCCAAAAGAGGAAATATTGTCGTTAAACGCGAGAAACTTGTGAAATATTCATTATTCGACACTTATTTCTATGTAATAGCGCATTCAGCGGATTGAAACTATGAGACCAATCAACAGACACCTCGAGATTTATCGAACTTGAAGCAGAAACCCATTAACCCAAAACTCATATGCCCAAAATACAAAAACATCAAATATAGACCCGTTAAGCACAAAGCCGAGAGGTTTGAATCCTTAATTCTTTCTTAATGTGGGCTGAAATGATGAGCTTTGAAATTCTGAGTTTTCTAGAAGGTGATTATAAGTTCTGGGGTCTCGCATTTAGTATCCATAGGCTCGGACCCAAGACACTGTGCTTCAAACGATAAACTTTTCAGACAAATCCTAAACCCATGAAACCCATGAACCGATAATGTTTTCCAAATTTCGGCTAGATCTCTTTGGAATTTATTCAGGATCAACCTCATCCATTGGTCGGCCGATGATCGCTTGGCAATTCAGGTCTCTAGAGAATTTTCAACCAAAAAATGTCATCTGGCCGCCACTGTGTGGCGGCTCGCAAGACCAAAGATGCTGATTGAGTCGAATAAAGAATTTTAAGGTGTAGCAGAGGTGTTTCGCGGGTTCAAAAGAAATCTGAGAGACGAAGATTGCGTGCTTTCCTATAGAACGATATGCGGTGCGTTTGACTGAAAATCGATCGGATCGACGATCGATATCATTAACGGCCGAATTTTCTTTAGCCAGTCGGAAACGTTAAATCCCGTCGGAGAGGGATAAAACCGAGCGTTACGATGATCCAATGAAGCTCCTTCGGATTGGATAGGCGCTTACGCTGTTACTACGCCCAACTTCTCAATTTTCTCGCGCGTCAGACGACGAAGCGCCTTTCCGCGGAATCGATCAAAATCTTGAGATCCATCCCCCCGACGTCCGTTTCCATAATCCCGACGACTGCTCCGGCAGTCGTCAAACTCCAGCGCGCACCGCACATACGCACGTGAGCGCGCGCGAAACTTTCTTCATCGATCCGACGTATTAACAAAGTTTTCTGTCAAGTCGGACGTCGAACCGGCGCCATAATTGCCGAGACGTTTATTCACCGTCGCGCGGGAACACGTGCCAACTTTTATTGGAGGAAGACCAAAAGTTTTTCCACCCCGTCAAGTGAGCCGTGATCATTAGGGAAAAAAGTAGACGGTGGGAGAAGGACGACGAAATTGCGGCATTAGCGAAGTCGGTTCACCCACCATCGCCGTCGCCGCCGCCGCCGCCACCACCACCAACACCAACACCAACACCCACACCACCCTCTCCTCTTTAGGATCGTCCTTTCTTTGCCCGCTACGTTGGCATTAAAGCTCGGCGAGCGCGGCGAAGGGTGAGATGAGGGGGTGTCGGCGGGGTGGAATGATGTATCACCATAGCCGCCAAACTCTCCACCGAATTTCATTACCAAATCCCATAACCGACGTATCCCACCCCCGCCGCGTCTCTCCTTTCCTCGTCCTGTTCTTCCTCCTTTTTTCCCCCCTTACTTTCGCGCCGTTAATTAAGCGGCTGTTGCAGAACGCGGCGTACACGCTCGCAGCGCACCTCTACCTGTACTCCAAATTGCGTCGGCTAGAAATTATAATCCGCTTGTAGATTGAAAGCCAGCCGCGGCCGCGTTGGCGACCAACGGTTATTAAACTTTCACCCTGGGCATCGTAACTGCGCATTTTAATATTATTCGCGGCGCGGAGAGTTCGGACGCTTCCCTCCCCCCCGCTCTTTCTCTCTCTCTCTCTCTCTCTCTCTCTCTCTCTCTCTCTCTCTCTCTCTCTCTCTCTCTCTCTATCCTTCTCCCTCTCACGTTTTCACGGAATGTCGGGATTACTCGGACGTCATCGCGGTGACATATTTATAACGCGAACGTCGATGACGGAATTTTACGGTTTCGGTCTCCACCCCCGCGCAGATTTATATATCGGCCTGCCAGATAAAACGCTATTACGCGCAACGAAGAGAGAGGGAGAGAGAAGGAGAGAGAAAAAAAATATTACATCTACGTATCGCGAGGCCGGTAATTGAAATTTTAAAATCCTGTTCAGTTTACTCGCTTTTTAGCGAATAGAATTCGCACTCTTGACACCGTCGGGCAAAATAGCCTGGCAATCGTGATTTATCAATTGAACTTTCGGCAACTTTCTCTCTGTTCTTAATACGCGAGATTTTCCTCTCCCAAGACGCATGTCCGTTTGAGCGTTTCTACGTACAATACTGTTTCTTTCTAACGTATCACAGAGCGGTAACAACGACAACAATAACGACGACAATAACAACAACAGCCAAATAAATCGATTCGTTGCACGATCGATGCGAGGCGCCAGCCCTCGTAAACAGATTAGCGCGATGCGTTCCGTTGCGTGAACGCAGCCGCACGCATCGGGCCCACAGGGTGGCGGCGGCGGCGGCGGGCCGTTTCGCGTTTGCGTCTGGAAATCTGGGCTGGAGTTTAACTTGAGTTTATGGCTGGTGTGTAAGGTAGAGGATATACATGTCGGTGGCAGTGTTTTTATGGGACTTTATGGGGTCGTTTTAACATCGACGCACGCTCACGCCGCTTCGATTCCAATTCTCCGGTGATATAAAACGACACGCCGGATGGGGGTTGGTTGGTTTTTTTCTTTTTTTCCCTCGGCTCTTTCTTCTCTCTCCGCCGCGCCATCGGGGGGTTTGACGCGCGCTAGCGCTCTGCGCAAACACGCGCACCCCTATCTGCCCCTGCGCCCTCCTACGGCGGGGGCAGAGAACGGCAAGGGGGATTGCGAGTGGAGAGGTTCGAATGAATCTTTATCGCTGAACGCGAGCTCCAAGTTTTCATAACGCGCTCTCTCCCCCTCTGGGAGCCGATTTAATTTCCCCTTTTCCCGATTTTCAGTTTGACTTTGCCGGCTGAAGGGGAATGATGGTCTTCTCTTACGTACGATGGATTACATACCGCGCTGGGAGTAGAAATGATTAAACGCCTCTCTCTCTCTCCCCCCCCCTCTCCGTCCCTCATCACGGCTTTATCGGTCACGAGAGCGAAGTGGAAATCAGAATTATCCGAAACGCTAAAAGTTTAATTATAAGCGCCGGGTATCACGTTAATTCGTCCTGAGTCGGACGTTATTATGGCATATTTTTTCCTTGTATTTGTACGAAAGCTGAGCGAGAGAGAGAGAGAGAGAGAGAGAGAGCCACCCTTCCCCGTTGTACAGCCCACAGGGATTTATAAAATATACCGCACTTGCGCGAGGGTTGATTAGAGTAATTAGACGGATCCCGTCGCTTTGTGTAAACAGAGAGAGGTCCATGGAAAAAAATAAAAAACACGAGCCCGAAATAAGCTTGGCGGGTGTTGGCTGGTAAAGGCGCCGAGCTAATCTCTCTGCGCGACATCATATCCTCCGTAATGGACACGTGCTAATTTATCGGGAAGGCGAGATAGGTGCGATTTAATGAGAGCGACGACACGCGTTCCGCGATTATCGAGTCTGGGCGACAATAGGCGTATCCGAATCCGGGGTGCGGCTTACACGATGTTTTCTCATCGCTCTAAACAATTGCGCCCGTAAACAGTTTCCCCCCGGAGCTCAATCGATCACTTTTGTCCTACGTCGACGTCCTCGCAGCACGGCGGCGTCCCGGCGAGGAGGAGCGATTTTACGGGGCGACGAACTCCGATACGCCCCCTGTACAAGCTGCGCCGTCTGCGATTCCGCGCTGCAGGTGTCGGATTTTGAAAATTCCTTTGCCGATCTTGTTTGCACAAAGGCGCGCCGCGCTTCCGTTGCCACTCCCACGCCGTGAGGATATCGCGTCGCGTAAACAGATTAACCCTACTACATCCACCGACCGGCCGGTTAAGCCTATTCAGGGTCAGCGTTTCTTTCGCTGGAAGGTCTGTTTGCACAGGATGAGAGAAACGATCTTCCCGAGGAAGCTACTGTAGAAAGCAAAGTGTACCAAACATGAGATCCTGTTCATACATACAAAATGAAGAAGAAGAGGAGGAAGCGTTTCCGGCTCCTGAAATGTACGTGCAATTAATGAGATTACGTAATCGGATCGGGAGGAACGAATCTGTATGCAGAGCGACGGAAGCGTTGCGCAGTGAATGCGCGGACGGATAAAGGATCAATTCGAATTAGTCTGATTGCATCGGGAAAGAATGGATCACGGGAGACCCGATTTCCTGTCGGCCACGTTCGTCGCGGCGAGATCACGGCGATGGTCCGAGGTGGCCATATCCCCAGACCAATCGGCCGGCTCGTGTCTTCTTATCGCAGCGACGATCAATAAAGTCCCGGGAGGAGGAAAGAATCCGTTCTCCCTTCGCTGCCGACGACGACGACGACGTCGACGTCGACGTCGTCGTATCGCGACGCCCGTGCGGGGCTGATGGTGGAAGTGGTGAAGGTGGCGGCAGCGATGGTGGTGGTGGTGGTGGCGGCGGCGGCGGCGGCGGGTACAAGAGGAAGGGGCTGAAAGAAGCCAGGTTGCATAGCCGGTGGGGGTTGTGTGCGGGATGATGGTGGTGGTAGACACGGAGTTGATAAGGGTTAATTTCGTACGAGGAGCCACGGTCGCGCGCATGAGAAGCGAGCGAGCAGGGAGAAGAGAGAGAGAGAGAGAGAGAGAGAGAGAGAGAGAGCGAGAGCGAGAGGGGTGGTAAGCCTTGCGGTCCAACGACTATGTCCGGTTGTGATTCTTGCGCCTGCCCCGAGTGACGTTTGTTCCCTCGGCGGCGGGTCTTTATTGCTTTCTCTCTCTCTCTCTCTCTCTCTCTCTCTCTCTCTCTCTCTCTCTCTCTCTTCCCTCCCCCCTCCCCCCTCTCTATCTCTCTCCCCGACGTGTGCCCGTCTCACCCTCTCTTGCTCCGAGCCACCCTCGCCGACGGCATCCGCTTCCGTTGCTCGGTCGCGCAAGCGCATTTTGATTTCGCGTCGCTCAGTCCGCATCAACGCCTCGACGTAAACGTAACGCACGATCATCCCGGCGGATTTTCATGCTCGCATCGAAAGTCAGCCGCCGCCGAGGCCGTCGTCGCGGCGCGAACGGGAAGCCGCGGCGCTCGCCGACGCGTCTGACAGCCGTTGTCGAGGTAGTTGAAGCGCCGAGGATGCCAGCAACGTTTGCTGCCTGCCTTGCTGCTGCGTCAGTGAGATCGATGGAGAGTGGATCTATCCCGCGAGATCACGAATGTCACCACCTTTGTAGGTGCGTTCTCGAGCCTCCAGCTCGACGAGCGTAACGAGCGGTAACGATACTCTCCCGCTGCTGGGAATCATCGCCGTCTCGGATATCGCGCTCGGACTTATGTACAAGTTCGTTGCGAACCCTCCAGCATTCCAGGCCCTTCCTCTCGCGAACGTATGTCCTACGTTTGTTCGCAGAGTCACTCCCCGCGAGCGCTGTTAGCCTCTCTGCAGCCTTCGCAAATCATGTGGAGTCAGCCGGCACTACGGCTCAGATCCTTCCATCTGTATTCATCAGGCGCGCATACGTTGAGCGTGTCTATTCCGGCTTACCACGCCGGTTGCAGAGGGAAGATATATTTTCACGGGGGATGTGCGTTCGCGGGGAGGGGGACGCAAATAATCGCCGCGGAAGTTGCGCGCGCGGCTCCGTGTAAAATTCGACTCCATAAAATCAATCGGTCATTACGAGCGAGTCAACAACCGAGCATCCTGTACTTAACCGAATAACGCGGCGGCGCTTGAAAATAGCCGCAAACGGCGAAGTATATCTTCCAATTACCACGTCGCCCTCTTTCATCGGGTTTAACGACGAGAACGTTTATTGCTCGAGCCATTGACTGCAGACATTCCGCGGCGACGTGGCGCTCGGTGGAGGGGAGGAGACTTTACGCGTTCGCGCGAGAACCCCGGAAGCCACAAAATGGATCCAAAGATTTTACGCAAATCTTCGTCCCCTTGGAAATCGGGTTAAACTGCCGTCGTCAAGGGCGGACAAGTTGCCTCGCTGCCGCCGTAGATTCATTACTACGCTCACCCTCCTCTTTTGCTCGCGCTTCTCGTCGTTTTCATGCTTTTCCCTCTTCGCCGAGAATTATCTACTCGCTCTCCCCGTACCAATCGACGCGCACGGAGAATAATTATCCTCTGTAGGCTTACAGATAAAAGATCCCCTTGTCCCCCCCCTGTCGCCCCGCTGAAAACCTTATCCCTCCTCTTTTCTGACACGTCCTCTCGTAAATCACGGTAATTTGGAAGTGCCGATGGCCCTCGCGGCGGTTCTTTCGTGCTGAATACGCGCGAATGACAGCCTCTTTACGACACGTAATAAATCTATTTCGTCCTTTCATTACACACACACACACACACACACACACACACACACATACTGCAGTCTCTTTGGAAGGGTTTTCAAATAGTTCTCAGCTTTTTACTCGCCCTTATGTATCTCTTGTGCATTTGCGCTACACTTGTAGGTTTTACACAAGTTGTAATTTTAATTTTGCACTGTAATTCATTTCAACCTTCATTCCGATTCCGATTTCAAGATTCGATTGGCGTTTGCATCTGTTGTGTGAAAAAAATTGAAGTTTGTTGGAATTTTTGAAAGATTTAACTGTCTTTTACGCATGACAAAAAATGTTTGGTATTAATGATATAAACGGAGCTTTTTGTAAAACTACCTTTATCCTTATACGAGAAAGAAATTGAAATTTTTTGAGAAAGGTTTTCGGAAAAAGTTTAGCTATCTTTTGCGTGTAACGAAAGATATTTGGCGTCAATTAAGCGTAAAAACTTGTAAAACTATGTCCCTTTGTTTTCTAACGCGATGTTACTTGACTCACTATCGACGATATTTCCACTTCGTAAAAGATACAGACCGGAATGATAATACACGAGGACGGAGGGGGAGGCCGACGTTTTAAACAGTGGAGAGTTAAAGCACGGAAATGTCGGGCTAAATACGATTTAACCTTGCGGCGGGATTTCAAATGGAACACTTGCTTCATTAAGGAGCTTGGGAACGTCGCCTGAATAATAAGCGAGAAAGCCGGCACCGGGGTTAGAGCGAATAAGTCGTATTTTAATTTCTACAGCGCCGGGGACTTATCGTCTTCCACAATTGCGCTCTGAACGGGAAAAGCCTTTGTCGATTCAATTTCAAGTAGATGCCGGTGGATCGAAGATAATTGGATTCCGGCCCTGGTTTATTAAGAGATACTTTATTGGCGTGCGCAGATGGTCACAGCAAGAAGAAGAAGAGGAAACTAGGAGGCATAGGCGGCATTTATTCCGGCGTCTCGGTTTCGCAACTTCTGGCACAACGGGAGAGAGCTATTGCCGCGGTCGCGGCATCTGGAGTTCAAGGTTCACCGGTGCCTAATGGATCGCAGGTAATTGAGTCGCAGCTTTAATTGAATCGCAAATTATTCGACTCCTTTTCGGACACAGATTTACGTTTTCGCCACATAGTAGCGAGCGAGTTTTGCAGCGATAGCAACACGTAGTGTCGCTGCTACTTTAAATAAATCACCGCTGAGTAAGCATATTACTGTATATAGCATTAGCATTACGTAATATAAATATATATGTAACTAATAATATACACATGCGAAAAAGAAATATTTACGATACCAATCGCTTGACTTTTTAGGTATGGCCAATCGCGATCCCGAATCTGCAGGTCCAGCAAAACGGCCAACAAATCTGCCATCAGTCTTTAAATTCGCCTTCTCAGAATCACGATGTGAATAATTGTACAAGAAACCCTCAGCAGAGGTTAAATCAGCACAATATGTCGGGCATGCTGATGGGCAACCCGTTGGTTATGAATCAGCAGGGAACAAACTTGAACAATATGACTCAGCAGCAGATTCTCCAGCAACAACATCAGCAACTAATTTTGCAACAGCAGCAGCAGCAGCAACAGCAGCAGCAGCAACAGCAACAGCAGCAGCAGCAGCAGCAGCAGCTTATTCAGCAGCATATATCGCAACAGCAGCAGCAGCCACAGCAACTGCTGCCTCATCAGCAACAGTTGCAACACATGCAAATCTTGCAACAGCAACAAGAACCGCAGCAGCATCAAAACGCGGTAGTGAATCATTTGGCGCAACAGCAAGCTCCTCACTACGTCAGTCAACTGAATCAGCAGCCGTTGCATGTAATGCAACAACAACAGCAACAGCAGCAGCAACAGCAACACTTGAATCAACAGCAGCAGCAGCAGCTGCATTTGCAACAGATTCAAAAGCACAACATGCAGCAGCAGCAGCAACAGCAACACTTGACTCAGGAAGTAGATCAGCAGCAGTCGGGTAATTACAACCCTCAACATCCTGCCGAGAATTACGTGCATCACATGCAGTCTGCGCAGCTGCCGAATCAAACCACTCTTCATCCGCAACTTCATCAACTTCACCAGCATCAAATGCAACAGCAGCAGCAGCAGCAGCAGCAGCAGCAGCAACAGCAGCAGCAGCAGCAACCAAATCAGCACACTATGCAACCCCAATCGACGGATCCCTTCCAAATGCAGATTCAACAGTTACAACAGCAACAGCAGCAACATCAGCAACAACTGTCGCAGGTGTGCATTCAGCCGCAGTATTCGAACCAGCAAATGAATCATCACTCTGTGGATGTCATGCAACAGCAGCAGCAAGGCTCCGCTGTCATGACCAACGTCAACACCACGGACATTCAAAACAGGCACAACCGAGCGCCATCGGTCACCGACGAAGATCTAAACGTCAAACAGTTGCAGCAACAACAGCAGCAGCAGCAGCAACAACAGCAACAGCAGCAGCAGCAACTCTTGTTGCATAATTCGATGCAGCGACATCACGTGATCCAGAATGGCGGCTTGCAAAGTAATCCTCATGAGAATGTCCAACGGATGTACACGCAGAATCAAGTACAATATCCGGTGAGAAACTTCGATCCTTCCAAGGGAACGAGTGCAGACGGCAAGATGGGACATCAGCAGCAATTCGTTCTGTCGAATCACGCGGGAAGAAGCCCGAACGCCAGTCACGCCGTCGAGGCGCAGTCTGGTATGGGACCAAACGGGCAGCCCGGCAACATGCATTTCAACAACAGAACGCCACCGTGGCAGCAAAATCGCCCCGCGGTCGTGTCCCATCAGCCGTCCGTCGTCACGGTGCAGAATATCAACTGCAATTCGTTCGATCGCGTGCCACCTCTCCATCATCACATTCCACAGGCCTCCACCTGGACCGACGAGGCCGCGCGGAAGAAGGCCAAGTCGACTAAAGTGATCGCGAAGAAGCAACGCCAGCACGGCGTTGCCGAGTCGAGAGCGAACAACGGTCTGGAGCACTCGACGCCGAGTCCGGTGGACGAGTTCAGCGAGAAGAATCAGCAGAATAACGGTCAGATAGGTACAACGTTTAATAACAGCGGTCCTTCGTTCCTAGAGGATCCCAGCGGATACCTCGCCCAGCAGACGGCGCTGCTAAATAGTACGATATCGAGGCAGACTGGTGTTAGTAGCTCTCAAATGGGGTTGATGAACAATAATCCAAAGTCGTCGCCTCAAACCAGTCACGGCATGCATGTGCCTAACAACAGCAACGCCTATCTTCCTCAACCAAAGCCTTCCTCAATCGCCAGCCCTACGAGTACCTCGTCGTTCACTTCCGTAAAGAATCACGCGACCTCGCCGGTCGTCGTGCATAGCAGTATGACGCCGACGTCGAGCAACAGCGGCACCGACTCCGAGAGCAGTCCGTGTCAAGGTTGCGTCACCAGCGCCGACACTCAATCCTACATTCAGGATCAGTATAAGCAGCAGATGCACCGGCAGTACCTGATGCACACGGATCAGCGCGAAGATCCGGTCACGTCGTCGACGTTCGGCGAGAGGTATCAGACGAGCCAACAGCAGCAGGCCGACTCCAGGCCGATCCAAGGCGGCACTGTTAGTACCAGCCACGGATCTCCAATCGGCACAAACAGTCCCGCGAATTCGGACACGCCGGCGGCCTCTACACCCGGCATCTCGCAGCCGGCGACGCCTCAGAGTCTCATCTCATCGCAGCCGTCGACGCCGCATAGTTACTCGCAACCACCGACGCCTCATTCGCATGTCTCGGGTCAGATGCCGCCGCAGACGCTGACTCCGCAGGCGCAACAGCCGTCGCAGTCGTTAATCAGTGGCGGTATGCAGGAACAGAGGTCCGAGACTCCGTGTTCCGGCACGATGAGCTCCAGCGGCATTCCACCTAGCACCTCGCCGTCCCAAACATCCTCCTCTACGTCGGACAATTTGGCGCCTCAGGTGAAACGACAAATAACGACCAGGCAAAATTCCCTCGACGGCTATCAACCTCACCCGCATACCGTCAACGCCGTGTCCAGGATACCCATCAACACCTTCGGCGGTGCATCATCCGTGATAACGACTATGGCGAGTAGTCATACGGTCAGCAGTAACACTATCACGTCGGTCTTAGCGGGCAGGGCGAATACCGCCACCGTTTCCATAAACACACCGTCTGCGATACCGAATCCCGCTCTGCCGAATCTTCTGCCGAACAAGCCGCAACATCAGGCACAGTCCACTACTACGTTGGGGAATGTAGTATCGGGCACTACGGTTACTACTCATTCCTCCGTGCCGCATAATCAATCGTCGACGATGAGCGTGTCAAAGTCGCCACTCGAGATGGTTCAGAGCGTTGTCAGTAGTATACAAGTACCTCAGGCGAGCACGAATTCGTTAGTGCAGCCACAAACGCAGCAGCAACAACAACACCATCACCACCACCAGCAGCAGCAGCAGCAGCACCAACAACAACAACAACAACAACAACAACAACAACAACAACAACATCAGCAGCAGCAGCAGCAGCAACAGCAGCAGCAACAGCAGCAGCAACAGCAGCAGCAGCAGCAACAGCAACAGCAACATCCTCAGACCAATGTTCAAGTTCATAATGTCCTCACTTCCGGAGGGATATTGAAGCATCCAGCCGGATCGACGTTACCACCTGGTCATATACTGGTGTCCAGCGGTGGTCAACTCATAATGGCGAGCACTGGGTCGGCTATTAACGGTGTCATGGCGCCTCCACCACCGAAAATCATTTCCAACGCTAATTCTATGCCTCCGTTGTCGGTGTCCCCGATGGTTACCAGCGTGACCGGTGCCGTCAGCCAGGTTATCCCTGCGGTAGGGGTAGCTCAGCAAGTGATAGGGCAACCGACGGTACTGGTGAACACTATACAGACGCCGGTGTTGATACAACCCAGCGTGATGACGATGGATGGCATCAGTCAGAACGTACAGATACCACATCTGACGGTCGCCACCGGCAACGTCATACAGAACACTCAGTCGATCCTCGACGCGAATCAGGACGTTTCCCGAACGGTCGGCGCTAATCAAGGCATGATGAGTCGGCAGCCGGCGTTGTTGTCTCCGGAGTCGGCGATGACGAAGAAGAAGGCGTACAAGAAGCGCAAGACGAATCCCCAAACTGTGGCGTCCATGTTACACATCGCCTCTTCCCAGCAGAACGCCGGCATGCTGATGCAATCGCAGTCTAACTTTGCGCAACAGAACTTCCAGGCTCAAAGCATAGGCGGACCCATGCTGCAGGCGCTCACCATCGTGCCTGGTAAGGGCGGGGCACCGGCGCAACTGGTCATGAACGGTCAGACCGGCGCCGCGTCCGCACAATTCAACGCCCAGCAGATAATCACGAATCCTCAACCGGCCCAGCAAATCAATCTCCTCCAACCGGTGAATCTGTTGAACGGTGCGACCGGAATGGTTCAGAATTTTCCTACCATTCAGCAGTTTATCGTGCCGGGCTTAGGCAGCATGGTCATGTCCGCTGACGGGACGGCCACGTTGCTACAGGACACGGGGAACATCGGAATGCAGCTGCAGATACAGAACGTCAACGGTCAGAACGTGCTGACGCCGGTGCAGAGTCACGGCGGCATATTCAACCCGAGTCAAAGTATATTGGCCGCCGGTCCAGCCGGTATGGTGATCAGGGCGCCGCAAGCGACCAGCGGCAAAATCATTCAGCAGCACAGTCCGGGAGCGCAGTTCTTGTCGCCGAATAGCGGTCAGTTCTTGGTGAACGGGACGACGTCCTTCGGTAATCAGCTGAGCCCGATAGTGGCGAATGTCAGCCCGAATCAGCAGGTGACGTTCAACACCTCGCAAGTACGGCCGCCGAACATGCAGGGCCAGCAGGAGTTCATACAGATGAACGGGCAAACGCTCATGGTACCTTGCGCAACCGCGCAGAATATCGCCGTTTCCTCAGCATCAAATCAGCAGAACACGACTTTCGTCCAGCAGAACACGACGATCGTGCAGCAACAGACGACCATGGTGTCGAATAATCAGATACCGAATTTTCAAGGCGCGGCTTCCAACGGCGGACAAGCCGTCGACCCGTCTTTGAATCTTGACCACAATCAGTCGTACATCCTGAGCTCCGGCATGATTCAGGGAAAGACGTCGTCCTCGCCTAAGAGTGGCGTGAACTCGCCGTCGTCCGATCAGAACATGGAGCAACAGCAATACGTGCTCGCGAGCAGCAGCACAACCGTCGTGGAGAAGACGGCTTCGCAGAACGAGCAGCACAGTCCGCTGATGGCAAGGCATTCCGTGTCGACTCAGACGGCCGGGAATCAGACGAACGTGGCGCAATCGGCGATGATGCGGCAAGGGTCGCCTCCCGACACGACCACTCATAGTCCAGGAAACAGCCAGAGGTCGAACAGTCCGGCCGTGGACACCACTACCCATGGCGCTGCTTCACCAGCACCCCCCATCACCGCTAGACATCACTCGTCATCTACGGTAAAGAACGATTTTGGAGCCAGAACGATACGTTACTTCAATTTTTGAAGCGCGAAGCGGCTTTACATTCATAGAAAGAAATCGATAAGTATATAAAAAGTCACTAGGTCCAAGTCGAAGACAAGAGTACAACTTTCGTGGAGAACTTGTGATGTGCTCTTTTCGCACCATAATTATCATTGCCGAGTTTTCCTAATGTTGAAGCTTACCATGTAATATAAAATTCTTAATTCCCCGATGAAAGAAAAAAACGATAATGCGTTCATTAATCGTCACGCGAATGCGCTTGATTTTTCAGCCTATGGTTCATTGCGTTTCGAGCAGCGAACCGGACTCGGGCGACGCACAGATCGCGTCGGAGGATTGGAGAATTCAGGGTATCACCACCAAGGAGATCACATTGAATCAACCGAGTCTGCACGGAAAGACCTACGTGGAGTCGACGGTGACCACTGGGATCCAGGTTGGTACCCACGTAGAGCAGGTCAACCGTCATCTAACTGTAATAGACATGCATCAGCCAGCCGATACGACACACCCAGAAAACACATACGCTGACTCACAGGAGCATATGGACACATCATCACCAAATCATTCCATTAATTCAGACACAATGGACCACTCTACCGTGGAAGATCAACTAAGCAACAGTAAAGAAATGACGGACGTTTCCTATTCGGAGATCGAGGTTAATCCGTTGTCAATGATAGGTCACGGTCATTATCAGCCAATCCTCTATCATAGCCAGCACTATGTCCCTAATGCGAACGTTTACCGACAGCAAGCCTTAGTGCCAGATCATGCTCATTATACCATGCTGCCGCAAGTAAGCAATAAGCTCGACGGCAAACAGTGCGTCGACAGCGATCGCGTCGGTAATCATCAGATTGTACAGCATATCATGGAGCAAGACGAGGTTGATCAAAATTCCGAGGAGAAGCCGCTGGAACGCCATAACAGCGGCGTGCCGTATTGTCCGCAAAACGTTACCGGCTGTCCGCAAAAGTTCGTCAACGTTGGCATCGCGCCGTCCGGCCTCTATCCGCATCTGTATAATTATAGGTCTGACCCTAATGGCATTGCTGTCGTTGATTACTCATCTAGTAAGCAAGCCTACATTAATCCGTACGTTTACAATCAATTTGTATATGCGCAAGAAGGTGACGACGCTGAGGAGAGTGATTCATCGTCGGAGGAGTAAATCGCATCTTTCTTTTTTCGCGCGCGGTCTATGAAATTAATTCATTTTGTAAATGGATTACGCGAGAGGTAGACATCAGTGGCATTATTAGGTTGCGATCGATAATATTAAGTTTGTAATTAGTTTGTATTTAACGTTAATGATTTTTACACCTTCACTGTGGCGTGTGAGAGCGCGTACGCTCGTTTTATTCGTAGTGTTATTATTTAAATCCTACATTGCAATAATGTAATTGTACTATTAATCGTGTGTTGACGGATTAATCAGGAAATTACTCCTTTTTATAATAGCGAAAAAAAAATAAATTTTTGCTGAACAATATCCTTCTGATAAAAATTATATATATACATATATATATATATATATATATATATATATACATACATACAATT